AAAAAAAAAAAAAAAAAGAAAAAAGAAAAGAAAAAAGAAAGAAAAAAAGATTGAATAGGCCAGGCGTTGTGGCTCATGCTTGTAATCCCAGTACTTTTGGGAGGCCAAGGCAGGTGGATCACTTGAGGTCAGGAGTTCGAGACCAGCCTGACCAACATAGTGAAGCCCTGTCTCTACTAAAAATATAGAAATTAGCTGGGCGTGGTGGCAGGCACCTGTAGTCCCAGCTACTCGAGAGGCTGACGCAGGAGAATATCTTGAACCCAGGAGGTGAGGTTACAGTGAGCCGAGATCATGCCACTGCATTCCAGCCTGGGTAATAGAGCAAGGCTCAGTCTCAATAAATAAATAAATAAAATAATAATAATGTACCATGCCTTGCATGCTTCAAAGCTACTACACTGTTCTCTCTGCCTAGACTGCTCTTCTCTTGCTGGTGAACAGCCTGGAATGGAGGAAGGGATCGCTTTCATATAATACCTAAGTTCAAACTTCAGCTCTGTTATTTACTAATCCAATGAACTTGGGCAAGTTTCTTAACCTCTGTAAACTTCAGTTGCATATAAGTAAAATGCAGATGATAGTATTTGTTTTGCAAAGATGTTCTGATGTGATACAATGTAATGTAGAAGTGTCCACACGTGGTAGGTCCTCAATAGAGGTTGCTTTTCTCATCTGTCAATGTTCAGCTCCAAAGACTTACTCTGTGAAAGTGTCCCAGCTTCCCCCCATCCCCAGTGTGGTATTCTGCCTTTGGAATAGCATTTTTAAAAATTGTGATTAAAAAACATAAATGTAAAGTTGACCACCGTAACCATTTTTAAGTGCGCAGTTCAGCAATGTTAAGTATATTCACATTGCTGTGAAACAGATCTCCAGGGGTTTTCTTTCCTTGCAAATCTGAAACTCTATACCCATTAAACAACTCTGCCTTTCCACCCCCCCACACCCGCAACCCTGGAACAGCATTTCTATCTATATCTCACTTGTAAGTGCCTTACCTATTACAGGCTGCCTTGCAGTAGGTTTAATTATGTATTTATGTATCTCCTCCACTAAGTTTTGGGCTTTGTTAAGACTAGGACCTTGTTTCATGCTTCCCTGTATTCCCACAGTACCCAGCACATGCCTGCACATAGTAGGTGCTCAATAGGTATTCATGGATTTGAATGTGACATTTGCCATTGATTGCCTTATTTTGACTTAACTTTGTGGGATGGGTGTATGTGGGCCTGTGTGTGATACTTTATAAACCCTATGGGGCAGAAATTGTGTCCAAAAGCATGTGAGGCAGCAGTGAAGATAACTCAGGCTCTGGCTTTAGGTAGATGTGGGTTTAAATCCGGTGACCTTAGGCAGATGGAACTTAACCTCTTTGAGCATTGGTTATCTTAATTCTACCACAGTGATATTAATATGAGCCCCAGGAAGTTAGTGGTGTTAAATGTGATAATATATGCAAAGCAGCTGGCATATATATGCATCCTATGAATGTTAGCACCTTTCCTTCTAGGCTTATTTCTCCTTACACCACACAGTGCCTGGAACACAATAGGCATTTACTTGTTTCAGGTTGGTGGTTGGCAGAAGCAGTAGTGTGAAGGGTGGATTTTTTATTTTTATTTTTTTTGAGACGGGAGTCTTGCTCAGTCGCCAGGCTGGAGTGTGGTGGTGTGATCTTGGCTCACTGCAACTACCGTTTCCCAGGTTCAGGTGATTCTCCCATCTCAGCCACCCGAGTAGCTGGTATTACAGGCCCCCAACATCATGCCCGGCTAATTTTTGTATTTTAGTAGAGATGGGGTATCACTATGTTGGCCAGGCTAGTCTTGAACTCCTGACCTCAGGTGATCTACCCGCCTCGGCCTCCCAAAGTGCTAGGATTACAGGCGTGAGCCACCATACCTGGCCTGATTTTTAAAGATGAGAAGCAGGGGGAGAGGGATGAGAGAGATAACAAGCTCTCCCTCCCCATCCTATTGACCCTCGCCAGGTGTATAACGAGTTCATTCTGCCCTCGGAGCGAGATGGATTTCTCAGACGGATTCGGGAGATTATCCAGCGAGTGGAGACCCTGTTGAAGAGAGACACTGGCCCCATGGAGGCTGCTGAAGACACCCTAAGCCCCCAGGTCAGACCCCTCTGGACACTTCCAGGGGAAATGGACTCTCTGCTCCAGGGTTCATTACTCTCTGCCTTCAGCGGTCCCCTTGGATCTCACTCCTCTTCATCTCTGGGACCCTAAAACAGTGGCTCTTACCCCATTTGAGAATATGATGAAAGCCATCGCCTCTTGTTCTGGAAAACTTGTTCAATACATACTTTTCTTTTAACTCATTATTTTGAAATAATTTCAGACTTGTGGAGAGAAGTTGCAAGAATTGTATAAAGAACCCCTGAATACCCTTTGCCCAGATTTGCCAATTGTTAGTGTTTTGCCACCTTAGCATCATCATCTCTCTTCCTCTCCCCTCTGTATGTGTGCATACATACTATATTTTTCAGAACCACTTGAGAGTTGAGTTGCAGACATCATGACATTTCAGCACATATGCTTCTGAATCCCTTGAAACTCATGTAGACTCCTAGAGGTTTATGGGTCCTAGCTTAGGAACCCCAGTCTGACACCTTCCATCTCAGACTGCTCTTCCCCACTGTGACTGTGGACTCCTTTCTCTGCCTCAGGAGGAGCCAGCACCATTACCTGCCCTGCCCATCCCCCTCCCAGACCCATCCAATGGTATGTACTGATTCTGTCCTTGCTCATCCCAACCCTTGGGGTTGCTCCTGGGAAGGGCACAGGGCATGTGGGACCGTGGTCTCAACATACCCTCCTTCCTAGCAGAGCTCCAGAGCAGCAACTCCCTGGAGCACAGGAGCTGGGCAGCCTTCTCCACCTCCTCATCTTCTCCTGGAACTCCTTTGTCTCCTGGAAACCCATTTTCCCCTGGAACCCCCATTTCCCCAGGTCCCATCTTCCCCATCGCTTCTCCCCCATGTCATCCCAGCCCTTCCCCATTCTCCCCCATTTCTTCCCAGGTCTCCTCAAATCCCTCTCCACACCCCACCAGCTCTCCACTTCCATTCTCCTCCAGCACACCTGAGTTTCCAGTCCCACTCTCTCAGTTTCCCCGGAGTTCTCTCCCCATGACTTCTCCACCTACATTCTCTCCCACTTGTTCTCAGGTCACTCTTAGTCCCCCTTTCTTTCCTCCATGCCCCTCCACTTCTTCCCTCCCCTCCACCACAGCAGCCCCTCTCCTCTCTCTGGCTAGTGCATTCTCACTGGCTGTGATGACTGTGGCCCAGTCCCTGCTGTCCCCCTCGCCCGGGCTCCTTTCCCAATCTCCTCCAGCCCCTCCTAGTCCCCTCCCTAGCCTGCCCCTTCCCCCTCCCCTTGCTCCTGGTGGCCAGGAGAGTCCTTCACCCCACACAGCTGAGGTGGAGAATGAGGTGAGTAGAAAACCAAGAGGGATGATTAGGGAGACTCCACTCTGCACTATTCCCTTCTCATGGCCCCACACTTTCTAGGCCTCGCCACCTCCTGCTCGGCCTCTCCCAGGGGAAGCCAGGCTGGCGCCCATCTCTGAAGGTGAGGCCTCTGACCACTGACCTTCCCCTGCCATTATCCCTACTCATTGTCTCTCCTGTCACTGCTCTCCTTTCCTCATGCCTTCTTCCTCGTCGCCCTACAGAGGGAAAGCCGCAGCTTGTTGGGCGTTTCCAAGTGACTTCATCCAAGGAACCAGCTGAGCCTCTTCCCCTGCAGCCAACATCCCCCACTCTCTCCGGTTCTCCAAAACCTTCAACCCCTCAGCTTACTTCAGAGAGCTCAGACACAGAGGACAGTGCTGGAGCCGGGCCAGAGACCAGGGAAGCTCTGGCTGAGAGCGACCGTGCAGCTGAGGGTCTGGGGGCTGGAGTTGAGGAGGAAGGAGATGATGGGAAGGAACCCCAAGTTGGGGGCAGCCCCCCACCCCTGAGCCATCCCAGCCCAGTGTGGATGAACTACTCCTACTACAACAGCCTGTGTCTGAGCAGCGAGGAGTCAGAAAGCAGTGGGGAAGATGAGGAGTTCTGGGCTGAGCTGCAGAGTCTTCGGCAGAAGTGAGTCTGGGGAGGATGGAGGAGCGAGAGGTGAACCTGGGAGAGCATGGTGTGTGGCTAGCCCTTTCATGTCCTCCGTGCATCCTCAGGCACTTGTCAGAGGTGGAAACTCTACAGACACTACAGAAAAAAGAAATTGAAGATTTGTACAGCCGGCTGGGGAAGCAGCCCCCACCGGGTATTGTGGCCCCAGCTGCTATGCTGTCCAGCCGCCAGCGCCGCCTCTCCAAGGGCAGCTTCCCCACCTCCCGCCGCAACAGCCTACAGCGCTCTGAGCCCCCAGGCCCTGGTGAGACTGCAGTCACCCAGCTTCCATCTTTTCCCTGAGACCCCTTCCTGTCTACTGTTTTTTTCCAGGTCCTGGGGGTCTGCCCCAGGGGAATAGACCCCCTCTCCCCACCTCCCCTTTCCTCACTTAGTGCTCTCCCTCCCCCATCCTGCTCCCAGGCATCATGCGAAGGAACTCCCTGAGTGGCAGCAGCACCGGCTCCCAGGAGCAGCGGGCAAGCAAGGGGGTGACATTCGCCGGGGATGTTGGCAGGATGGTGAGGGCGGGCCCAAGGGAGGGAGAGCCCAGGGAATCAGGGAATGGTACCTGGCTGCAGCTTCGCCATCCTCCCACCTTGGAGGTTTCTTCATCACCTTTTCTTTTCCCTCCAGTGAATTCAGAACAGAAGCCATGTATCTCCCCCACACCAGAGCCCACCATGGAGCCTGTGTTCTCAGAATCTGATGCTTTTCTGACCAACACAACTGAGCAAGGAAGATCCCAGCACTGAAGGGGTAGAAGGCCGGGGGGCATGGAGAGTGCAGCTCCATTATAGTGAAGAGCCAAACATATGTGAACTGTTTGCTGTGTGGAGGTGTTAGTCCTGCAGCCTACCATCTTCATCTCTAGCCCCTCTCCCCTGCCAACAGTCAACCACTAAGCAATCCCGCCCAAGCCCAGATGCTTCTAGAGGGGCCCACTCCCAGCTGGGAGAGTGTAGGTGATATGCTCACACCACATTAGCAGCAACCAATAAAAATCCTGGAAACAAGGATGCCGTGAATCCATATGCCATGAATCCATATGCCATGCCTTAGGAATTGGGGAGCAAAGCCTTGTGGGGTGAGGTAGGGGAGGATTTAAAAGGGACTTTTCTTTTCGCAGTGGGAGGCAGCGGTGGAAGCTGCCCAGCCCTCTGGCTTCCTACCATCAGTTAATGAGGAAACTGCAAGGTCAGTGATCCACTTGACTAAGTTAGGATCCCCTCTAGACCCCACCCTAGACCTGTACAGGCAGGTACAAGGGAAAGTTAAAAGAATGAAGACTGCTTGTCTTTCACCCTTCATCCACCTCTCTCTCCCTCTCCCTCTCCCTCTCCCTCTGGGGATGGGAAAAGCAGTAGAGTTACAGTATGTTCTTGTGGGTAGAGGACAGAAGAGTGACCTTCCTTCCCCTAAGACGTGGGTTCAGTCTCAAACCACCCAGTGATCTCTCCCTTAAATCAGGTGGAAAGATCTCATGGAAAAAGTAATTCTAGTTAAACATTTACAGCTCCCTGGGGCAATGCCACCACTGCAGCTACTGCTTGTGAAACTTTCCAGCATGAAGTGCCATATACTGCCTCTCAGCCTCCATACTCACTTGACTCCAGGAGAATGACTCAGTTTATTATCTCAATTTGACCCTATCTATACCACTTTCGGCTCAAACACTGTACAGAGCTGCCACGCCTAACCTCGTAACAATCGCATGCCTGGAAGGTGAAGGGGGTAAACCACAAAGTCAGAAACATTGGGAAAAGCCACAGTCGCACGCACATCTCTCAAGGAAACAAACTACAAGAAAGGGCTGTCATTGTACACAGCAAGTGTGCAGTGGGCAAAGTTCTGTTCTTTTGACAGTAGCCAAATGCTTAAGTCCCTGGTTTCTTGGGATCAATCATGGCCCAAGGTTAGTAAGAAGGCCAACAATGTTGTGAGCAGGATTCAATTTCTACAGGGTCATGGGGCATCATCCACCATGTGAAGGGGCTCCAGCAGGTTGGACATGATCAATACCCATCCAGATTAGGATCCTGATGCCCTCGCCAGAGCTCGGGCTCGGGCAGCTTTGGCCTCGTCTTCTAGCTCATCTAGGAAACGCTCCTGGGAGATCGAGTAGATAGTGTAACCATCTGGGGAGGTAGGTTCAGGAAACCACACGGACTATGCACATTCCCCTTTCCTAGATTTGCTCTACCACGCTTGTTACCTTCCCAAATCAGTGATTCCGGCTTCCCACCGCTGCTGTTTCTAAGCCCTGAACCCCAACTCCGTTATTAATAAATCAAAATAAAAGAGTACCTTATGAATAACAAAGTACTAACCCCATTTTACCCCAAAATTAAACGGGTGGTTCAGCCCTCTTGCACATTCTGTTCCCCTTCCCCTATATGCGGTCCCCTTGAGTCTACAACAAGGACGGATACAAATAGCTAACACCAGGGCCCCGATGCCTAGGCCGGTCACGATGTTCCGGGTCCGCCGCTGCGGTAGGACCTTCTGCCACTGGGCAAGCTGCGCCCGCCGCATGGAATACAGTTGCTCGGATGTCAGCTTCTCCCGCGTCGGGTCGATACGCTGAGCGAAAGGGGCCTCTCCACGCTTAGCATCCAGAGGGTCACCAGCTCCCGAAGCCGCCATGTTGCCGCTCCTCTCTTCGCGTTGCCGCCGCGCGGGGCTCGCTGGGAACAGTAGTCCTGGGCCACTGCAGTGGACTCTGGGAGATGTAGTCCGCGTGCCCTTTGCTAGGCTGAACCGCGGTTCCCAGGCACACGGGATGGATGCGGGAGGTGAGAAGCGGACGTGCTTTCTGATTGGCTGAGAAGTCCGCGGCCGTTGGGGTGGGAAAAAGCTGTGGAGGGTTCCAGGCTGTGGTGGTAATTGGGTTTTCCTCAGACTTGAGGCGACGACACACTCATTGGAAGGGGCGAGGAATCCAGGGTGTGGCAGAAGACTAGAGAGGAGCTAAGGGAGTCGGTATGTGGATCCAGTGAGCCCGTCCAGGTGCCCCAAGAGGCTCGTGAATATGGACGGACCCATGAGGCCAAGATCGGCCTCCCTCGTTGACTTTCAGTTTGGAGTTGTCGCCACAGAGACGATCGAAGACGCCCTGCTTCACTTGGCCCAGCAGAATGAGCAAGCAGTGCAGGAGGCTTCGGGGCGGTTGGGCAGCTTCAGGGAGCCCCGGATCGTGGGTGCGGCTGCAGGGCCGGGGAGCTGGGTTCATGGGAGACTGGGGCTTTTGTCTTTCAGGCACGACCTTGAGATTCCGTTGATTTTATTCATTCAGAGAATGTTTGCTAACCTTCTCTGTGGGGTGCTGGGGGTATACTGATGGACAAGACTCACCAGTGCCCTCCCCTTGATTTCTTTGACTTGTATGGAGTACTTATGAGTGGCACCGATTGGCTAGAAAGGAAATAGAGGGCCAGGCATGGTGGCTCACACTTGTAATCCCAGCACTTTGGGAGGCTGAGGTGGGAGGATCACCTGAGGTCAGGAGTTCGAGACCAGCCTGACATAGTGAAATCCCGTCTCTACTAAAAATACAAAAATTAGCCAGGTGGGATTACAGGCACACACCTGTAATCCCAGCTACTTGGGAGGCTGAGACAGGAGAATCGTTTGAACCCAGAAGGCGGAAGTTGCAGTGAGCTGAAATCGTGCCATTGTACTCCAGCCTAGGCGACAAGAGCAACACTGCGTCTCAAAAAAAAAAAAAAAAAAAAAAA